CCGGTCACTGAGCCCCGCTGTAGAACTGGACCTCCTTGGACCGGTCACTGAGCCCCGCTGTAGAACTGGACCTCCTTGGACCGGTCATTATGAGCTCATGAGGAAGGTCCGAGCGAGACAGGTTCTGTAGTTTTTAAACAAGTCCAGTCTTGACGGGTTCATGTGCTACAGAGCAGAGCGTCCCTCAGTGTTTCCAGTAACATCGTGTCACATGACCGTTCTGTTGAAGCCTGAAAACCTTCGCCCTCCAACAGCAGAGAGAACCACAGCTGGTGCTCGGGTGCTGTTCATCTCCAGGCCTGTTTGTCACCTTTTCACTGAAACTCACTTGAAAACAGCTGAACTGTCCCTTTAACGAGGTCCTGTGCTCCGTGCAGATTGACAGGCGCTGCTCACGGTGCAACAAAGAAGGGATGATCTATCACACACGCCAGATGAGATCTGCAGATGAAGGGCAAACGGTCTTCTTCACCTGTGTCCACTGCAGGTGAGACACCTCTGCTCTGGGTGGACGGTTCTGATGATGGTTCTGATGATGGTTCTGATCTTCTTGTTTTAGGTTTCAGGAGAAGGAGGACTCCTGAGGGCGATCGTGTGGAGCGTCGGTGCTTCAGAACGTCTCCAGTTCTCCGTCAGCGTTCACATTTTAATGAAGAAGCGGCGGCGGTGAAGTTTGACCTTCAGTCCAGAAGAGCTTCTCAAGTTTTCTGCTTTCTAGTTAAAACTGCTGCAAGTTTCAGCTCACGTCTGAAGTAAAAGAACATTTTAGAGATTTTTTTTTAATCTGCTGAGATCTAAATAAACAAACGAGACAACAAATCCTGGATCTGACTTGTCAAGATCTGCAGTTTGTGGACAGGAAGTGGAAAGTTAAGATTACCTTATTTTTCAGACTATAAGGCGCATTAAGTGAAACAAAGCAGTCGGATGAGTCAAACTTTATTCAACTCATTCACTATAACTCAACATTGTTCAGAGCCAGAGATGAGTTATTGTCGTTCCACCTCATGTGGTACATGTGGAACGAGATTATGTACACAGGGTCCCAGTTACATCCAACAATAAAATGTCAAAGAAAAACAACAATGAGATCTAAGATATGAACTAAGATAAACATCAAATAAAAATTCACTAAGCACTAATAAAAAAACATCACCGAACAGCAGCACGAACACGAGCATGAGTCTGTGAGCAGATGTGCACGCATGAACACAGCAACATTGAAACAGATCAGCAGCAACATTGAAACCGATCAGCAGCAACATTTAAACAGATAAGCAGTAACATGAAACGGATTAGCAGCAACATGAAACAGATCAGCTGCAAAATTGAAACAGATCAGCAGCAACATTGGAACAGATCAGCAGCAACATGAAACAGATAAGCTGCAAAATTGAAACAGATCAGCAGCAACATGAAACAGATCAGCAGCAACATTGGAACAGATCAGCAGCAACATGATGTGATTTTTCACAGCGATTATTCTGGTTAGAGATTCATGAGTCTTAACAGCCTCAGGGTAGAAGCTGTTCCTCAGTCTAGTGGTTCTACACTTAATGCCCCTTAAACTCCTTCCTGAGGGGAGTGGGGCAAAAAGTGTGTGTGCTGGGTGAGTGAGGTCCTTCATGATGCAGGTGGCCCTCTTCCTGCATCTGGAGGACCTGAACGGTTTTCTTCTTAATCCAACAAAGTTAAGTCAGCTCCTCTGGATGGTTTTCTTTTTGTTGAAACGTTTCATCTTTCATCCAAAAGACTTCTTCAGTCCATACTTGCATGCACGTAGAGAACTTGCAAACTTCACCCAGAAAGGCCCCTGACCAGGATTTGATCTGACAACCTTCTTGCTAAGAGACAACAGCTCTACCACCTACACCACCATGCTGCAAGAGTCCAATATAATTTTTACAGTCACACACCGAAGCAACATTCATTTTAGTGACCTCCGATTGACGTAACCAGGTGTCATTGTTGCCGACGTGAATAACAATCTTACTGTATTTAGCCTTAGTCAGCAGTTTCAGATAAGATTCTATGTCGCCCGCTCTGACCCCCGGAATGCATTTAACTGGCCGCTGGAGTCCCTAAAGCCACATTTTGGACTATGGAGCTGCAGGGTCTGCTTCTCAGCGGGTGTGTCACTGAGCGAGGAAAATCAATTAGAAACGTGAACGGGCCGGTGGTGAACTGGGGGCTTAGCCTTAGCACTACGCTTGCTCCGGACCATCACCCAGCTGGCCTGGGGTCCCGGCTGCTCGGGGTCTGCTGGAGGACCGCTGAAAGGAGACATTCTTAGTGACTCTGCACTGACGGGTGGGGGCAAAATTAAAACCTTTTTCAAACTAGGGGTCAATTTCAGAATCTACATTAAATCAGATGTCCAATATCTTTTCTTGGTCACAGGTTCCTCAACTAGAGTTTGATTGGTCTCATTTGATGTTCTCTGTTGTGCTTTTGACATCATAATCAAAGATTACTGAAAAAATTCAAGAGATGGAAGTATTTTATGTTTCACATATCATCCTGGGGGCCAGATAAGCTGTCAACGAGGGCCACATTTGGCCCCCGGGCCTTGGGTTTGACACTTTAAGGGCTAAGAGGACCTGGCTAGCTACTGGTTTTACGACAGTGTGGAGACAAGCTTCCAGTTCAGACAGCCTCTCCAAAGCTACCATAAGACTATATTTGTTACATGTATCATAACCACTAAAGGAGGCAGAGGAGTAACTAAACATCTGACACACGGAGCAAGAGAAAACAGAGGACCTGACTTAACTTTGTTAGATCCTTCAGTTTATCCACTCTCACCTGCTCCACTCAGCACAGGTTTCTCTAACTTCCTCCTCGGTCCAGTCCTTTAAAACTGTTTCGTCTCCACACATAAATCAGTTCTGCATTGTTGCATACATGCCACAGCTACGGTTGTTTCCTTTGAGTTCAGTCTGACTTGTTGCTGCCATGTCAGCCTTTTTCTTGGTTCATTAAATCACTTTGTTTTATTTAAGTTCTTTTTGTAAACTCTGCATTCTGGGTCCGAAGTCTCTGCCAACCATGATAACATTATTTACACGAAACCCTAAGATTATTTACATGTATACATACGTAGTAAGTATGAAAAGCAGCAGCAGCGACATACAACACTTAACATTCTTTTAGTCATTTTATCACATGAAGCTCCCAGCAGTGGAAATAAATTAATGAAACAGTTTGTATGAACTGCTGGACGATGATGTTTGCAGATGACATTGTGATCTGTGGTGAGAACATGGAACAGGCGGAAGAGAACTTGGAGAGGTGGAGGTATGCACTTGAAAGAAGAGGAATGAAAGTCAGCCGTAGTAAGACAGAGTATTGTGTGTTTCCTGCCTGCACTGGAAGTGCTATCATTGCTGCTGGTTCTGTTTGTATTTGCAAAAGATGTGATATAAAATGAGATATAATGAGTATTTCATGTAAATAATTGTGCATTTGCAGAACTGATGTGAATGTAGAAACTGCAAAAGTTTTATGAAGACAGAAACCCAAGCTGGTCCTGGATCGGCTCAGACTAGTCGTCAGCTGGTCTGTTTAACGTAGGCTATGTTCACTCAAAGGGCAGAAATTGCTCAGATTTGATTTTTACTTTACAAATAACCCGGATCAGATTTTTCAAGTCAATGTAACAAATCAGATCTTTTGCATATGTGTTCCTGAATCTGATCCATATCTGATGTCTATGAGAGCGACCTCAGTCTGAACGCTCATGTCTCATTTCATCTGACTCTTATGTCAGTCAGGTAGGGGGATGTGGATCGATACAAGTGTTACCAACCTGGAGGTGTTGCCTTAAACCACATATAGAGATACTTTAAAGAAAACTAACTTTCTGATTATCACTCCTGTCCAAACTAGCTAACACTAACTGGAGCACAGATCCTTAGACCCTGAGAACTGCTGTTTTAGCTTTGTGCTACTCCACAGCTGAATACTGTGCTCCTGCTTGGTGCAGATCTGCATGTGCTAAACAGAGACCCCAAGCTCAACGCAGTCTGCTGCATCATGATAGGGACCCTTCACCCTGCTCCAGCAAGCTATCTACAGGCTCCACCTGCAACATGAAGAGAGACTAGCATTAAAATTGAAACAGGAAAATGACCCACAGCACCCACCATATGTCCATACACCAGGCCCGATACGTTTAAGGTCTAAGGCTCAGCCTTAGAGACAGGGTGAGGAGCTTCATCATCCAGGGGGAGTTTGGAGTAGAGCTGCTCCTCTGCATCTGAGGAGGTTCATCTGATCAGTGCCTCCTGGACACCTCCTTTTGGAGGTTTTCTGGGCATGTCACACTGGGAAGAGGCCTCGGGTCAGACCCAGAACTTTCTCAAGGGATTGTGTATCTTCTCTGGTCTGGGAACAGTTGGGGTCCCCCAGGAGGACCTGGAGAGACAGAGGTCTGGGTTCCTCTCCTGGACCTGTTGACTCCACGACTCGACTAGAGATACAAGGTAGAAGATGGAGCTGATGATCAGGGTTCTCTGCCCTTTGAGAGTCAGTGCAGACATGAGGCTTTCAGTCACACTTGAGAATCTCAGTAATTAAAAAAAAAAACTTGAGTTACTTCTGTTGCAGTTCAGGACTCGTGTCAAAGTGTTGAAGTGAACTCGTCAAGTCTGGAGGGTGGCGCCCTCTGCAGGGGGTCTGCAGCACCCTCATGGTGCTGGCTGCGGTCACTTCCACTGCGCACGTGTTCTGATCCAACAGACATATTTTACTATTACGGACTCTGAGGCTGCTGCACAGGTCCATGGCCAGCAGTCACTGTCAGAGGTGGGGGACACCTGGACAGGTCTCAGTCCATCACAGGGACACCTGGACAGG